GAGCTTAGCCTTTCTTTTATTCTCAAAACATAAACCAAAACAACAGTAAACATCGCAAACACCCTTCTCAGATGCTTCATCTTTCTCCTTTGCTTTGTTAAACCTTTCTAGAACATCTTCTGTTTTCATTCTTTTCACTCTCTTTCCCTGTGTTCACTCTTCAGCCTTTGTCACCTGGCTTCTGCTTCCACCCAACAATTTGTTCACCTTGATGTTACTATCCTTCTTTTAATGAGAAAACTGAGACCTCTGCCACATTCGGCACTGCGGACCACCCCCATTAGAAACTGCATGTCCCTCCTTGCTTGCCTGGTGCTTTCTTTTCCTAGTTCTCCTCCTCTGTCGTCTCCGTCCCTTTTTCTTTGCTTCTTCATTCCCTTCCCTCAGAGGTGGTCCCTGTGTTCCCCCTGGACTTTTTCTTTTTCTCCTGTGCATGCTTTCCTTGGTGCTCAGAAGTTCCTACATTTACAAGTAGTAATTCACTTAACAAATATTTGAGTGCCTACTATGTGCTCAACACTGTTCTAAGTGCTGGGGATATTGTAGTGAGTAAAACAGGCCAGAATACCTGACCTCGTGGAGCTTACAGTCTAGTGTAAGGGAATACTGAAAGTGAATCATAAAATAAGTAAATTATAGACAAAGTATCTGATGCTATCCAGTCTTACACTATCTGAATTCTCTCTATAAAAGAGCTCAGGAACTGAATGGATTCAGGTAAATTTTTGGATGAATCCTTTGCTCTATGAACTCTTACTACATGGTATCCAAAACTCAGGACTCAATCACATTTGGATAATGTATTATGCCTTGCTATCTGAACTTGTTTTCACTTTGTGAAATCAGAAGCTGAATGAATAAATGTGGATATCACAGGATAGGTTAATGGGTGACATGTGCTAATGAGACAAAACAAATAAATATGTGAGGGAAGGGAGGCAATAGGAAGTGTTTGTGCTGGGATGGGGAAAGGCAACATTTCAGTAGCAGCCTGAAAGAGGCGAGGCAATGCAGATATCTAGGAAGGGCACAGAGGATCCATCTCTCCCACTTTGGGAATCTCTCCTGCCTGCTCTTCCCGTATTTTTTTTTTTTTTTTT